GGTGGCGGAGCCGCCGGGTTGCGGTGGCTCCGCCACCTCCGCTGCCGCTGCAGCACCTGCTGCTAGTGGTGTTGGTGTTGGTCGTCGTGTCCCCTCGGCTCTGGTGGCCAGTCGGGACACCACCAGCTATCGGCGGCTCTCTGCGACGGTGCGGGAGGCCTTTGCCGTACTGGACGAGATCGACGGCATGGGTGGCATGGGCAATCGCAACAACAGCGGCTATTGCTGTGGCAGCAGCAACGATGACGGCGATGGGCTCAACCCGCCGGCTTCAGGCGGTGGCGGCGATGATGACGGCGACGCCGGCTGGGATGGTGGCGGCGATGATGATTTCGAAGGTCAGACGTGATGGGGTGTTGTTCATGGAGGTAATGGCTTCCTACGCATGGACGTGGTGTTGTTCCGCGGGTATTTGTGCATGACATGTGTTGGTCGGTGCATCGGGGCGCTTCTGATGGCATTGTAATTGTGCCCCATTCGCTGAGCTGGTACTGGAAGTTACTGGAGGTGCAAAACATAGGTATGGCAAATGGAATCATGTGGAGGTGATGGAAGAAGGATATATAAACTATTATGAGGTGGGAGGATGGAAAACACAAGTCCGGCATTTTTTGGCATTTGCTAAGAAGTGATTACAGTGCAGTAAGCATTACTTTGCCGTTATACTTGTGCGTCGGATCAAATTCCGTTCCTGCTCAGCCCCCTGTTTTGAAAAAAATGGATTTGGCAGCCGCCTTCGCATGGCGCACTTCACAAACGCGAAGGCAAAATGCATTAGCGTTTTTAGAAAGCTTGAAAAAACTCTTTGCTTGTTTAAACGTTTTTGAGCATTTCTGAACGTTTAAGGTGAACTGTTGTATCCGATGGGGACGTTCATGGAAATGTGGCCTGTGGCCTGGTAGAGGGCCTGATTATCGTCGCGGTATCCAGTCGCAAGCATATCGTTGGGCAACGGTGGTGGTAATCGTCCCTCGTGCATTGGGGGGTCGGTTGGTGGTGGTGATGATGGTGATAGATGTTGAATGTCACGACTCCGGCAGTACCCTAAGTTACTGATGTCTCTGGGAACGAATGAATGTGCTCCTACGGACCGGAACCAGAGGTCGGCAAACCCTGAATAACTGTCACGGGTACTGGTGCCAGGGTCGAATAACTGTATGGAAATTTTTTTTGGTAAAAGCCGAGGAAAGAGCGTCTGCGGGCCGATGTACCAAACTTACTACGTTACACCATCGCTGTTAAAGCCACAGTTGTCTTGTTGCGCCCAATTACTGCGCAAACCTGCCTTTTGGGGGGAATTTCTGCACCCTGCCGTACGGCTGCCGTACCAGCGATGATGATTTTCTGCAACGGGTACAACGGAAGGACCCGCTGTACCAGCGGCGTTTGCCGACCCCTGACCGGAACTGCCACTTGTCGCCCCCGGTTTATGTATACAACGTTTATTATATGTGTGTGAGTGTGTGTGTTACACCTCGGTTGAGTTACCCAGAGAGGTGTAGCGAGACCATAATATGATATAATATTGACGGTCTGTTCCAACATCCTGATGCACAGCTTTGCATTTGATTTCAGCACCAGCAGTCATCCTGCTGCTGCTGCTGCTTGGCGCTGTGAAGACGAAGCGATGACAACTGGAAAGTCAGCTGATCCGGACCATGGTCGTGCGATGTTGGTGCTGCATGGCCCGCCTTCTCAGGTTGTGGGCTCAGCATGTTGGTTTGGAGCTGTGAGGCTACCTGTTGTGTCCTTGTTCGCCGTACGTAACCCACCCACCCAGTGGCGTGGCACAGCGGTCTATTGCCAGTCGTTTTCTCCTTACCTCTATTCGCTCGCGTTTGTGAATGGAGGCGCGCACTGACATAAACTGGCGCTGGCAGCCGGCAGGCTTAGCGATGTAACGCTCGAACAGCAAGCAGGGCGTCACGTCAGGCAGTTATGACTGGCCTGGTATGGCTTGTACCGCGTCGTGCAGCTAAATCGTAACATGTGAGCACCCACACCGCTGCGCGCAGCAATGTGATTCATGTCCGCGTCTCAAAAGACCGGGAGGTCGACCCTGGGAGCTGGGGCCCCGCTATGGCCGGGCGTACGTGGTTTCCTCTCGCTAGGTGCCCTCTCGATAGGTGCGTGCAGCTAATGTGTGGAGACGAAGAGGGGTTATGGAGGGGGTTATGCTGATGCGCCGGAGCTCAAGTGAAGGACGGGGGTTTTCACCCGACCCAGGCAAGGAAAAGTGGCGCGCTTACGGCGATTTGTATGTACCGTCGTACACAGGCTTGGCATTCGTCCATCGTCTAAGCGGTTGTGAAATTGTTTATCTTTGTCCCGGAAGAGTAAATAAACGGCTGGCGGTCAGGAAGTACGTGATCTATGTAAAGAGTAAACCAGTCCTGGCGTTATGTTCACAGCAGCAGATGACAACCTATTGAAGGGTGATCCATGATATAATAGCAGACCGCTTAACATGGCCGTGCTGCTGGAGCCAGGCGAAGTGACGGTAAACTTGCACCGTGCCGAAAGCCTGAAAGATGCCGACTGGTGAGCTTACTCAGAAGGCCTCTGACTGATTGTGCGGAGAAGACCAGTTTGCCACGCAAGGATGGAATGCGTCTTCGATGTTTCTCGCAGGTTTGGCAAACAGGATCCATATGTAATTTTACGGTAAGTCTAGCTCACTTACCTGGCATAGTCCTTGGATCTCTGGACGCTTTGTTGGACCTCCTTTGCAACGTGTATCACTGCAATTTGAAGGTGTGGGGAGAACAAGTACAGGTCCAATACGCATGAACGCGGAGGCCGTGACCCAGCTTGGGAACAGCAATTCGTCTTCAAGGTGAGGCAAGCTTCGGAAGGCATCAACCAAAACAATCCATCTGCCGCAGCTGCTGGATCTGCCCATCTGCCCTCCCAGTTTAGGGCTTCGGACACGGAACTACGATGTGGCATATCCATATAGCACGCGGTGGCCCCTCTTGCAGATCACCGAACACGCTTCAACTAGAAACAAAACCCTAATCTGACATTTCTTGGCTCTGCACTCCCCTTCCCTTGGCAATCTTCCAGCGGTCGGCGCTCGTAAATCTGCCTTGCTGGTTTGGGTTGGGTTGGCGATGACCCCACCTTACGTTGTGCCCTTGGGTTGCCTGCGCTGCTGCACCAGCACTTTTTATTTGGCCTTGACTGCCGGAAAACGTCTTCCCTTCTGCTCCTCTGTTCAGGTCGACCAGGAGACGACTTTGGAGCTTGAGGTGTACGACCAGGATATGTTCAAACCTGACGACTGCCTGGGCAAAGGAAAGGTGGACATCGTATCTGTACGACAAATCAAAAAGATGTCTGTTGAGGTGAGGCGTGATAATGGTTAACAGAACCGAACAGAACTGAAGGAGCTGTCGTGGGGAGTGGAAGAATACCGCATTTGGCCGCTTCCGGGTCTGCTTTCTCTGTTAAGAAGTATTGGAGGAGGGACATTAAGACATGCAAGAAAAATAGCTGTCGCGCGTGTGGGGCCACAAAAGCAGCGGTCCGGTTCCTCCTCAATACTTCCCCGCCGTTGCGGCTGAAGTTGCTGGTTGACCGATGATAGTCATGGAAGTTTACAAGTTTAATTGGTGGTTGACAGACGGCACTTATCTATCTATATCTATCTATCTATCTATATCTATCTATCTATATCTATCTATCTATATCTATCTATCTATATCTATCTATCTATATCTATCTATATCTATCTATCTATCTGGCTCCGCCCCCGTAGGTGCCCTTGTTTCGGCGCCTCTCACGTCGTCAGGCGGGTCACGTGTACCTGACATTGAGTTTCTCACCAGCCAGAGCTTCAGCGTCATCGGGCATCAGAAGCGCCGCGGCTGCAGCAACCCCCGCTGCAACCCCAACCGCGCCAAATCCCGGCGATGCAGCCATGTCCACATACGTGATACACGAGCAGGCCACAGCCGTGGCGAACCAGTTCCCCACGGCCTTCCCGGGTAACGGGGATGGAAGGGGGGGGGATGTAGAGACGCGCGATGGTGCTGCTGTGGCGGCCGCTGGAGGAGTCCTAGCGGCGTCCAGCGCCCATATTCCATCTGGGTCATCTTTGGCACCCGGGTTGGTGCCTGCGGGGAGCATGCCGGATACCGTACCAAGGTACGGAGTGGTACGGAGCAGTACGGCAGGCGTTTGATTAAAGAGTTGGACGAGGGACGAAGCGGGGATTCAATTCCAGTTGGAGATCAGTTCAGAAGTGGAACAAGATGTCCATTCAAACGTTTATGCGGATAATCGTCACATTTAGTAAATGTGTCGATATGCGTGTCGTCGACCGCTTCCCCCGCACTAGTATGTGCAATGTGTCCCTTGTTCCCTGTTGCCCAGATCTTCATTCTTTTCTTGTTTTTTAATATACCTTTCTTTCTCTCTCTCTCTTGCATCATGTTCGTGTGTTACCACATGTTTTCTCATCTCCAGTTTGTCCTCGTTTTGCGATTTCCCGTGTCTTTTTACATGGCATTTCCTAGGCAGCCATTAAATACTCCTTTCCGCCATTTGACTGCCTTTCTTCTTCGTCTTTATTCACTTTTTGCTGCATTGCACCTTTTTTGCGTTCATTTCCCCACAGCTACAACCCGACATGTGGCCTCATACAACCACATCCTGACCGGCTACTGCCGTGCCATGTCTCGTCTTCGAGCACTGCCAACAGCAGTACGGCGTCTCTGGGGGTGGCCGCCACGGCACCACCCCACGTGACCGCGCCGCCAACACCAGGGCCGTACAGCTCGCAACAGCATGCCGTACACTCGCAGGTGTATGGCATGGGACCAGGCTTTAGTGTGCCGCCAGCAGGTGCGGCGGCCGTCGGGCATCCTGCCGGCGCTGCCGGCGCTCCGATGCACCAACCGCCGCCGTACCAGCAGCCGTTGGCACATTATGCGACGGCGCCGGGTGGCATATACCACACGTCAAGCCATCCGTACACGCCCGTGATGACGGCGCCGCCGCCGCAGTACGGGCAACCCGGCATAACACCGCCGCCACCTTCACCAGGATCGTACCACGCGCCAAATCCGCCACAGCCGGCATATTCGATGCCACCACCACCGTCCCCGTCACAAGCTTCAGGATACCCCCCACAACTGCCGTTCAACCCATCGTTACCGTCGTACCACCCTGTACAGCACCCTCCGTACGGGCCGCCACCAGTTCCTCCCGGGTACCCCAGCGCGCACGGATACGCGCATCCAGGTTACCCTTGAGTGCGCATGGGGGGTCCTTCACGGTGTTAGGTATCCGCGGCGGTTCGCCTCGCGGGGGTTCATCTCGCGGCGGGGTTTCGGAGCTGGTGACCGGACAGGGGTCGGATAGGGTGGCGTGGAGCCAGGTGGCTGTGAGGATTTCATGTCCTGAAGGTCGTTCCGCGAGCTTCACTCTCCTTGTCGCCACTGTCTGCTGCATGCCTGTTTGTTTGTCTGCCTGTCTGTCTGTCGTGGTGAGCAGCGATGGTGGTGGGTTGCATTGCACAGCGCCTCTTCTTAAGATGAGTTTTCTTTATTTACATCACACCGCATATCTCCCCGCGGAACTCCTTTTAGACGACCGATCATAGTGTACGGCGGCTGTTGTACGGGATAGCTGAGACAGGAGGTAGCGATGGCGGTGGCGGTGTGTGTGTGTGTTTGTTCCCCCTCCCCCGGGGGGAGGAGGGGGAGATGGTGGCCATGGCGGCGTTTAGACTTCTGGGAGTGCTCTTTGGGAGGGAGGTAAGGACAAGGAGGTTGCTGCTAAAATGATATTGATGATGTTGATGATGCTTTACGGTAGCCGTGGTGGTAGCCGTGATGAATAAGGAATATATTACTTAAATAAAAAACACTGGGTACAGGTGATGGCGGCTGGCGGCCCCAAGGCCCTTTGTCATGCAGATATCCCTAAGAGGGGCTATTTTGCGTCTTTGTGCCTCTGTACCACTCGAGTGCATTTCATTCAGTTGTAATACCGTTGGTTAATATCTGTTAGTGGGTGGTTAGTCCCTTGTGATATGATTGTGGGTGATAGTCTATCTGACGTACATGGGGCCCAACACGTCATTTTGAGAGTGACGTGTTATGCACACACACACACTCACACACTCACATCCATATCACTATTGTTGGTGGACGTGTGATAGTCCTGACTGAGGACTGAATTTTCCGTGAAGGCAAAACATTATTGCTGCTGTACGACAAGCAGTACGACAAGCATTGCCGTATGTTTGACCGTTAATGCTGTTACGAGCAGCCAACATTTTCTCCTTCTCGCCCCGGACAGTTCTTGCTTCTGGCCTGGCCCGCAGTCCCGTAGATGGTGGCGGTCGCTTCATGCTCTCCCATAGCTCTGACCTCGTTGTGGCTGATATACAGCTCTTCGGATCACCCCGCCATCTAGGGGTTTATAGGTGATATACGGATCGGCTGGTGCTGGTGGTGGTAGCGGTGCTGGTGGTAATGGTGCTGGTGGTGAAAAGGCGGCAAAGGAAGGAGATGCTTCGATCTAGTCTACATGCTGTTGCGCACTACAACGCCACGTACCAAGGGCCCAATAGTGCTACTTGAGTATTACATGTAAATAAGGAAATAGATTCCTTAATGCTGCAGGCACTCTGCTGGGGATGTGACCTGGTAACGCCGGGGTGGCTGGCCGGTGTGCTGTAATGGTGGGGGATGATGGGACGGCTGCGCGTTGCTAAGCTGTCATACATGGACGGCATCGTACAATACTGTACGAACTCATATCAACTTCTGAATGGTAGACTTCTGAATCCTCCAAGTAAACATGTACCTGCAGTGCTTGTGCAATTGTGGCTTTTGTAATGACAGACTAATACGATATCCAACGTTTGTATCCAACCTCTACCCTTTAAGGAAGTATCAATTAAGCAAATTTTTCTGTTTGGGACTTGTTGTTTTGTTATTGAAAGAAGTATTTTATTAGGCCGACTTTGCTTCAGGCTTAGGTAGTCACCGTTACATGACATAACTCTTTCAGAGAAATTTTCACTCGTTCAGCGTAAAACGTGGCTGTGCGCAGGCCATGGACCCTCATAATGTAGGAAATGGTGCAGAAACTCCCGGACGCGCTAGTCATCAGGCTAAAGACTCAGGTTCTGAACAGCCGTGCACTTCTGGATTCCTACCATTCCGGCTTTTGTATCCTGTCGGTTCTCGTAAGTGGAATTGTCGGGCAGCACCCAATAAGCGAGCAGAGCTGGTTGGCGCCTACCATGATGGACAAACGATATTGGCGCAGCAAGTGACGCATGCGGGAGCGGCATGGCTTGCGGTTCCGTTACCGGATGGAAAGATTGGATGGTGTAAACGATATGACGAAGCCCATATGGTTCAACACCACAACACGAGGACGGGCTATGGGTGAGTGCTTAGCTTCGTACATATAGTACATATACGTAGATCCAGTACATAACGGCGAAGAACTGAAGGTTTGGCTGGCTGTACTGCGAAAGGTTAATGCCTTCCCGAGTCCCCAGCTCAACTGTCGCGATTTCCTCATGTGTCTGTCTTTGGTTCGCAGCGCAATATGCACTGCCCTGCACACGGCCGTGATTCGAGCCGGACCCCATTGGACGGGAGGCTGCTGCTGCATGATTCCCATCCCACCTGCTGCGCCAGCCATTCTAACTACTAGCTATTTGACCTCCCGGATTCGTGCCAACCCTGGACAAGAGAGACCCTCCGACCCCTACACAGTGCCCGTACCAACCCTAGACAAAGGCAACTGACGTTCCCCTCGCGGCCCCTTCCCACTCACACAGGTGGTACCGGGTGGTGTACTGCGGCATCTCGGACGAGCAGACGTACGGCATCGGCCTGGAAACGCTAACGCCTGGGCTCGTACAGCAGCTCGCTTCGGCACCGCCGGCGCCGCCTCCCGCCCCAGGTGTGCCTTGTGCTGGCGGCGGTGGCAGCGGAGGTGCCGCCGCCGCCACTTGCAGCCGGGACCGATGCTCGTCTTGCTGTCTACCCCTGCGCGCCGGCTCCATGGCCTATATAGGCAGCTGCGGCCACTCCTACCACTTCGAATGCCTGAAACAGCTAGGTGACGCGAACATCTGTACGTCCTGCGGTGTGTGGTACGCAGTCGGCCAATCCCCCCCCGAGACCTTCCCGCCGCCCGCCCCCACATCCATCTTCCAGCACGTGCACCAACACCTATGGTTCGTGCCGCCCTTCTACCGCTATATCCTCATCTACGGCGTGATGCTCCTGGTCTCGCCCATTGTTTTGCTGGCCTCCTTCCTGGGCCTGATATGACATGTCGAGGGGAATGAGTTGACAACGTCATCATTACCATCACTATGCAAATACATTATTTTCATCACCGGCATCCTCATCCTCATCAGTACAAGGTAATAGTAGTAGTAGTAGTAGTAGCAGTAGTGGTAGTAGCAGTAGTACTAGCATGGTGGACCAATCCGCAGAAGCGACCGATGCCCCAGGTGGGGACGGGTGGGTGTTATCACGGGCTTTGGCTTTCGAGGGACCTTTCTATAATTGCGTAGGTGGAGGGAGCAAAGTTCAGCTCGTGCCTCTTGGCTGGACGGGGGTTGAGCACGCGGCGGGTGCTGCTGCAGTGGGCAGAAGGAGGAGGGGTTGGGGTTGTGGAGGTGGGTTAATGTGTGTTAGTGTGGACAGGGGGAACAGGGGGGCAACTGTGTGTATGTATGTATGCATGTTTGTGTATGTGTGTTTTAGTGAGCGGGGCCGCAGTGCATGTGTACGTGTATGTACGTCTGGAGCTGTGACTGAAAGATGGCAG